TTAAACTATTAAAGAAATTTTTCTATTAAATTTAATTTTTTATATTACTTCTAATAAGTACAATATTTATTAAACATATCTTCTGTTGTTTTGTTACACAGTATACAACAAATTACAATATTTGGCAGCCACAAATTATATGCAGAGTATAAAGAAACTATTAATTAGATGGTGTAATCTTTCCATTTTTAACTACAGGGAAAAACTAGCAAACCAAATCTTACATATAATATCTTACTAAACTGTACACATGGAAAGTGACAGACACTGGTTGTGCTGTTTGATACAAACTGGCTGAACTTCATCTTCAGAATACTAGACCTAACATCTAAACATGTCAATATAAACATCAAAACAAACATATCCTAACCAACCACGGAAACAGTCTGGTATCAGGAAAGCAGTGTCTAATCTTTGCTGCTTTCCTGACCTATTACATGTCTGTACTAACAAGGGAGTACATTTTTTAATCCTAAACGCTGGAGTGGAACCCAATCTGTCTTATTCTGACTAATACTAACAGTGTTTCAGTTTTTCCCGCATTAACAAAGATTGCACTTCCATGTCATTTAGAATGTTATCGTTATTATTATCTTCATTCTCTAGTTTTAAAACATTTGTATTAGAATAAGTCATACTGAAAACTATAAACTTAGTTTTCACAATCACATTTACCTCACTTACTTATCCCTCTCCCCAAATATAAATGATAGTCATGCACACTTGAAAATACTAATCAGTCATAATTATTTTTAAGATGAACAGATGAACTACAAATTAAACTCTTGAACTTATAAGTAAAGGGAATTAAATCACCCTTTAAAGTTTGGAACAGAAAATCAATTATACTGTATTAAAGCAGAGATTCTCAGCCACCCATGGAATTGCTAGCTCTGAGAGCAGAATAAGACTTAAGTCTCATATATTTATTAGCATGTGAAGAAACAGGTTGAAGAGGAAGGTCCTTCAATGTTTGACGTGGGTTGGCACAGAAAATAGGAACAGAAAAGCCTGATTTATGGTGAGAACATGGTGATGGAGCAGGTAGGATATCATTGAAGGAGTAGGAGGTGGTAGAACATCTTCTCTAGGCTGTGAAGGACCTGAGGCTCAACAGCCTGGTGAGCATATTGCTGAAGGTATGCAGTCTGGGTTGAGGGCCCAGGGAACAGCTGTAATCACTGCTACAAATTGAGATGAAGGAAGAAGACAAGAAAAGCTAACTTCAAATGAAATTAAGAACTTGGAATAGTGTGAGAAATCCAGAAACCTAGGAAGAAGCATCTTGCCCCAAGGATAAAATCCTGAGAGCAATAACTGATTAATCAGCAAGTGTGTGCATCTACATGTAAACTATGTCCCAGCCTATTTCAACATCCCTACTTTACCTTATATCACTGTCCTCTCTTGCAGGGACTACTGGAAAAATATCTATTCCAGTCCCTTCATCCATGTTCCTTACAGCAGTGAGAGAAAGTTTGAAAAATGAAAACCACTTTATGCCACTTTCCTGATCCCATAGCATAAAATCTAAATTCTTTATTATGCCTTCTAAAGTCCAGAATATGACTATTAGGGTTTTGATAAGAAAATGTCTCATACAAGTCCCATGCATTCAAGGGTAGGGCTTTTGGAAGTAATTGGATCACTGGGGCATTCTATTCATTAGTGGATTAGCCATAAACAGTTCACAGCCGAATGTGCTGTTAGGAGGTGGGACCTGGTCGGAAGAGGCAGCTTACTGGGACGTGGGCTACATCTCCCTGCCTGGCTCTCCCCTCTCCTTTCTGTTTCCTCATTGTCATAAGTGAGCAGCTTTCCCCTGCCACACCCTTCCACCCTGCCATTTCTGCCTGGGAGCCAGCCAACCCCGGCCTAAACTCCCAACACCATGAGCCAAATTAAACATGTCCTCCTTTAAGTTCTCGGTGCTGGGTATTTTGTCCTAGTGATTGGAAAGCTGATTAAAATAATAACTTGACCACCTTTCCTCCTATGCTTCCTCTCACATTATCATCCCCAGCTGCCAGGAGCCAAGCCTGAAGATGGCCCTGTGTCTTCCCTATTCCTCTTCTCCTCCATAGATTAGACCCTGGATGGCACAGCCCCGGGAGATAGTTACATTGCATCCTTCCCTGTTCCCTTCCTGCTCACACCCGGATCAGGAAACAATCACGCTATGTTGCACCTAGGCCACGTAGGCCACGTAGCACTATTTTCCCCACCTTCTCTTCCTGTTTGCCTTTGCTGTAAATAAAGAGCGCGCGGGGCTCCAGGCAGCCATTAGCTCCCCACAGGCTATGGTTCCTCCTGGTCCCAACTTTCAAGCATAATCTTGGTGTGTAACCTTCTTTCTTGGTCTCCTCGTCTTTTCTTCATCTCCCACCACTCTCCCTGGCTTCAGACCCTACGCTGTGCACCCAGCAACATTTGTTAGCATCTTGTTCTTTGAATACCTAAAACTCATTCCCAACGCTTTGAGCATAATCTCAACACCTGAAGTTCTTTTCCTTTGGTACTTTATGGGGTTCTCTCTTTTGCTTCCTTTGTCCTCTGCTCAAATAGCAACATCCCCAGAGAGTATATTCCTGGCCACTGTGCTCAAAATAGAAGCTCCCAACTCAAATTATCTCCTGATTTCTCACACTACTTTTTACTTTATAGCCTTATTACTATCCAATATATACATATGTGTGTGTTTATACATGTGTGTATACATACAGTTTTCTTGTTTCACTTGTCATTATTGGCTGCCTCTTGACTCTTCAACTCTGATGAAGGGAGAGAACTGTTTGGTCATAGTTAAGTGCTCTATTAAATTAGTTCTAATTACTGCTGAGTTTTTAGAAGTCTCTCACCCACTGTGCTCTAATTCACTGTAACCTTTGTAATTATAATTTGTCTTTCATGGGGCCTGCTTGTGGGGGGAAAATCCTCTTTATCTACAAACTTAAAAAACAGTTCTGATTTGTTTGATAGTAATGTATATTGGTAATGTGATAGTTTTTCTTGTAATACTATTTCAACTTGAGGCCCTTTTCAGAGTCAGTGATCCACTCTGTGATAGAAATAAAGATTAAAACAAGTCTCCTAGGTGGACTTTTGACAGCCATGAGCTGTTCTATCCAAGACTGAAGTCTTCTATTTTGTGACTCCTCTTAATATCACTACACAGCATCATGTCAACTTATTCAGCTACCTGTAAGTAGGAGGGAAGAAACTACACACACATCTCTATTAAGAGATGTCACTTTTTTATCAGAGATCATTTTCTGTCCTTTCTTTTTAATTTTCTCTGACTTTGACTTAAACATAATCAAGATTTTGGTTTCTAAAACTTTCAAGTGACACAGCCACTCTTAAAGCTGAACACATTTGGAGATGTCAAAGGCCTGACTAATTGCCTCAATAAAGATGAAATCTCTTTGATCCTTATTCAAATTATAGTACATGATTGATGGCAAAAGACTCAAGCCTATTCTAAAACAGTTTTCTGATGTCATACTGGTACTTCATTATACCCACCTGAAATCAAATTAAGGCCAGGATTCCTATCAGATACAACATATAGTGACTTCATCTCTATGAAGTTGAAATTCATACCAAGGATATGAAAGGTCATCTACAGGCAAACTGCAGCATATTTCACTGAAAAATTCGAGGACAATTTCAGCCCTCTCAATTTCCAAGAATAGTAAGGCTATTTCCAAGGTACTGACAGATTTTAAATTGCCATGCCTTTTGTTGTGGCCATCTCTCAATTTTTGGAATTCAAGAAATATCTATGTCAATTTCCTGACCAAGCTTCTAGCATGGCAATAAGAGAAAAGTTATATAGTTCTTCCCAAGGGTTATTTATTATTTCTATATCCTTAAATAAGTCATCGAGGAGCCACAAAATCATGAGTAGAAAGTCTAGGGTAGTGCCTTAGTCATAGAAAGTATTCATTACCATTACGTATCTTTTGAGTAAGAAAAGAATAATGAGCACAGAACTTCATTAGAAGTCCTAAATATGTCTTGGTCAAATGTGTCACAAACAAGCTTCATCCTTTGCAATGATCAGAGAGACTAATAAGAGACTATTAGGCATCAGATTGTATGATGGAGGAGCTAATGAATTCTGTATAAGTAAAAATCTTGAAAATGTCTGAAATATCATTTCTGATAATTCATAATTTATTCTGCTTTATAGAATCTCTGTGTCTTCACATTAAAATGTATGATCAGTGATCAAATAAGGGATAATTCCTTGAATGTCATGGTCTATAAGTTCTATAAAGTAATTAGCAAAGATGCAAAAGAAAATAAACACATTCAGAAGAATTCCACTAGCAAGTCCATGAATGCCAAGGGAACGGATTCTGGGAGAATCCCAGAGAGAGAGAGGAGAACATTTGGGTATCAGTATGAAATAGGTGATCAGAACATAGGAGAAAACCAGAAAAAGTGAAGGAAAATAGCAGAGGAATTGGTAAAACTGACCAGGTCATGCATCCTACACTTAGCTCCCTCGGCCCTTATTCTGGCTTGTTTTTGATGCTGCGTTTATGGAGAGGATGAGGGAATCACTGATTTGGGCCAAAAATACAAGCGGGATTACTCAGTCCTGGGGACATAGATTAACATTTCCAATATCATACCAAAAACACTAATGAAATGAACAGTGTGTAACCTGTAATTTTAAGAATACAGTATGTGGGTTTAGGAATTTGTCACAAAAAATTCTGAATCTCATTTACTGGATGAGTTTTCAAAGACAAGCCAACCTCTGAGCCTCAGTTGCCTCACCTGAAAAGTAAGGAAAATCCTTTTTACACAGGTTGATTATGAGGAAGACGTAAAATATCCAGCCCAGCCTGGAATATTGATGTCTAATAAATGGTGTTTTGTGACTGCTGCTTTTTGCTATTATCATTATTTTAGAGTTGAAATCATTTTCTTTTGGCGTATCTCTACACTTGCATAACACAGTCAAATGTCTCATGAACAGAACTCACCCACAAAGAGCTGGCTGTTGAGCTGTAAAAGGACATGGCCATCGGCCGGAGCAGGCTGGACCTTTGGCAACAGCTGGTCCACTTGAATGGAGGCCTCCTTCATGTTCCTTTCAACTCTAACGTGATGCCACTGGTTGTCATTGAATTGGGTGGGTGACTGCACTGAGATTTCAAAAGGCCCATTTCCCACATCAAATGAAAAGGTCACTATTGTTGGAGCTGGAAAAATAAGACATGAAGATAATTCAAGTGAGTTTTCATGGCAGACAGCTTAGTAGTCCATACAATTAGGTATGGCACCAGGGCATAACCACCACTCAATATAGAGACAGGAGTGTAATTTTTATTCAAGGAGACAGTAATATCCATATATAAATAGGTCTTCTGATGTGAAACTAGATATCTGCTAAGATATGTATATTTTAAGAAATTAATCCTTTGATTTAATTTGCATTTGACATAAAAATAATTGTTTCAAAGAATCAAAGTTCAAAGAATCAAAGTTCAAAGAGACAGATAATAAATAGACAGATGGACAGATAGATAGGGATATAGATACAGATATGCATGTGTGTTTTTTTTTAATACAGGGCCTCACTATGTAGTTCAGGCTGGCCTTGAACTCATAGTGATCCTCCTGCTTCAGCTTCTTGAGTCCTGGGATTACAGATATATGCTACCATATATGGCAAAGTTTATATAATTAAAAGGCATGTAATATGTACTTGATATTAAGATATCAATAGCAGCTCATAAATCTATCAAACTAATATTAGTCCTTAATTAATTTTTAACTACTGAGAATTTTTTCAATGTTAATTATTTCAATTTAAATTCTTCTTAAATTGTTTGTAGAAAATACCAATAATTGTCCCAAATTATCACACCTTAAGTATCAAATTATTTTCTTACAAAAATGATGAAATGATATAGAATATTTTCAAGTGGACACAATGAAGATTCAGATGGTAAAGCAGAAATATGAGTTCTTTAAAACTTGGTGAAAGAATTTACTACTAAATGATAAACCCATCCTCCAAACTTCTCTGGAAAGGAGACTTACAGCATAGCTCTATTCTTATAAAGTCAGTGATTCCCAGGTTCTCTAAAAATACACCAGATAAAGCTGTTGTCTTAAAAAAGAAAGACACATCCGCAGTAAGTTCTCCATGGAAAGTAGGAAAGTGAAGGTATGAAGCCTCAGTATTGAAGGAAGCAGAATTCCAAAATGACTCTGTTTAAAAAAAATAAAAAATGAACAATTAAGAAAAATTCATGGCATAAAATGGATGAAACACATGTGCTCACTTCAGCAGCACATATACTAAAATTGGAAGAATACAGAGAAGATTAGCACAACCCCTGCCCAGTGAATGTATTTTTTATATTTAGCATATATTTAAAATGTTGCTCAGTCATAAAATTGCTTTTCTTTTCTCTCCTGACTAGTAATAGTGTACAACCCTGACCACATGATTGGAGATTTTACAGGGATTCAAAGCCTGGCTTCCTCCCAACATGGGACAGGGATGATCACTACAGAAATGGTCTAAATATATGAAAACATATCCTCAGCCTAAATGCTATCCTCTGCCAAATTGACATTTTAAGCATCTGCTAAACATTGGTTAATAGCTTAATTTTTTATAACTTGAAAATTCAGACACTTACTTGCTTTGAACAACAAAATCCCTAAAGAAACTAATAGTGGTTTTGATTCCATCACACATACCTCACGGTTACACTAGTAACTTACTCCATTAATGGCCCTTGTGATTTTCTGTACTGAGATTGGCATTCTAAATATTCTCATCTAATTAAAAACCGAGACAAATGTCTCTATGTTCATAATTTTTCAGAAAATGTTTTTTTCAATCAAAGTCATCCCTTAATTTGTTTGTAAAAGTGAAATAGATGACCAGAAGATGAAAACCATTCTCCGAAAGTTTACAAATGCTTAGAAAAGATAAAAACATTTATAAGTTTGGGAAATAAATTGAGAGGTGTGAAAAATGTAGACTATATAGGTTTGATTATAATTATTCAATACAATTTTTCTCTTTACTTTCTCATTTCTTTTCTTTTTTTACATATCTGCAACTTTCCTTTTGGAAAGAAAATTGTGAATGTTATATAACAAAAAATATGGGAAATAAAACATAAATGTAATAGCATGAGTTGACAGGAATGAAATCCAATTGAATATAGGTAGTTGATGGGGAGAATTCTCCAAGAAATGAACTATGCATCAAGGTGCCAGCAGCAAGTTCTCAGCACATCAAGTAGGAGCGTATTTCTTTAGTCTACACAACAGCTTTCATACACACTCCTAACACTGGATAAAATCCTCCTTCTAAATGATCTTCCTAGAAGAAAGATGTATTGATCCTCTGCAGTAGGAAACAGCCATTTCAAAATAACAGTTCTTTTAAGTTAGCAGAGAACAGATAGCTAGCTAGTTAAAAATCACGAACTTGTGTCTGCTTGTGCATGTTTCTTAGATTTTAATTTATTTTCCATAAAGTCTGGTGAGCATTACTTATATCACTTTTAAGTTTTTCTATTTTTCTTGTGGACCTAATTTAAAAGCCAATTCTCTATTCATATGTGGACAATTTTAAGGCTGAATTTTTTCAGCTGAGAGTCTATTTTAAGAGCTTGTTTCCCATGAGTCAAGTGAAACTGTACATTATCTGCATTATGTCAACTCTATTCCTTATGCCCTTTTTACAGCTATTTCTATGCCTAGACACTTCGATGTCTGGGAAAGAATGCAGGAAAATGAGAAAGTGCAAAATATCAAGTCAGGGATTATAGCACATTTGTGCTCTTAATGATTCTTCCATGATCTATTTTCAGAAGGAATTGGCTCCCTTTCTATTAAATGTTATACGTGAAAATTAAGTCTGTAACTTTAAATTATAAAATATTACTAAACCTTATTTTGCCTGATTAGAAAGAGAACATTCAGAATTAATGGTTCAAATTAGATAATATTATTATAAAACATTTCATTTGTTTCCTATTGTATCATAACTAACCCAATAAACCATCTTATAGAAGACTTCTGGGAAGTGGTTGAAACAGAGGAACAATTCTTTGAATTGCTACTCTCTGTACAATAAATGCTTTCATGGTAATGAAAACAATTTGTTACTTTAGGTAGCTAAAACACTCTCATACACATAATAATGTGTTTTGTTTAGTTAGCAAACCTTATTGCACAAATTCACAATAGGTAGAAAATGAAGTAAGAGCAATTTTTTGGATTTTAAAAATTGCTGCTAATTCAAAACTATTATAAAGAAAGCAAAGGCCAGTATGTATACAAACCAAGTGTTAATGGCACATGATATCTCATCTCTTCAGACACAGTGCCCAGTAAGAAGCACCTGGGAGAATCTGGCCAGCCTCTGAGAAAGGAGGGGAAGACGAGGCAGGGAAGAGCTCAGCTAGCGAGCAGGAGCAGGAGGCCTTTCACAGAGGTTTGCAAGAGAGAGTGGCACAGCCAGGGGTGTAGCTCAGTGGTTCCTCTGCCTGGCTCCCAAGTGCAAGGTCCCGAGTTCAATTCCCGGTACCAAAAAGAGAGCGAGAGAGAGAGAGAGAGAGAGAGATACTGGCACAAAATTCCTGAAGCTGCACCAGTAGCAGATCTGAGTGCAATCATACTCATCTCAGAACCAACACATCATGATGTATTGTTCTATGTTCATAATAACTTAATAATGAAATAATAATCAGTATGTATTTTCAATTAAATCTAAGATTGGATGCTAGACATTTGAAATTCCTTTGGAAATCCCATCTTTTATCTTTACAGAATTTATACATGTGTGTATGTGTCAAGGTTCATAGTTATTTATATAAAATACGAAGATATACCAATTCCATATATAAAGTTATCTTGTTAAAAAATTCATTCAAGAAAATTAATTTAGCACTGTATTAAGCTTATGTTTACTTATTGTTTTGCTAAGTTTTTATTGATCTCAGTCTTTTTAAAAGAACAGATTTATCAAGAGAGAAGGTAGAGTAGCGATTTTCTGGGGTTGGAAGGATGAGGCAAGTGTGGGAGAACAGGGATAAGAACCATTTTTTACAAGGAATTTTTTTTAAATTTTTGAAATACGGAATATGTGTGAATCATTAAAACTAAGCTGGAAAATATAGATTTCTTAACAGAAATAAAATTCTAGGATTAATTACATGTTGCTGTATTGGAACAATCACCTATATATGTTTGTTTGTTTTTTCAAATTTACTGGTTCCTCTTTAGCACTTCTATTATTGTTTTCAACTATTTGTGAACCTCAGTAGAAATCCATATAAGCAAAATGAAATGAAGAAAATAAAATCTGGCTGGAGATAATTATAGTTTGTGGGTTGCAGAACAGTACAAAAGAACAAAGCTGAGCATAGATGTTTGCATAGAGTAAAATATCTCCTCCTTTCCCCTCCCCATACACACTCAATAAGGTTAGTGTGCTAAATGCATCTTAGGAAGGCAGAACAGAAATTGCCTTGGTAATCAAAGGATTTTGCAAACAATCTCTGAAAAAAATATTCTTTATTGTTATCCTCATGTTAGTTTTGTGCAAAACTGTTTTGATAATAATAGCAAAGGGACATGTATATACTTTATTCAAAATGCCACAGTTTTATTTTAGAAGCTGGACTAATAGAATTTTGGATGAACCATCCAATTACTTTTAGTCTAGATATAAGAAGATATATAAAATGGTAAATAAGCGTGAACTCTATTTAAGCTTTGTGTAACATCACCCATCAGTCGTTCCTGTGAAGGTCCATTTAGGGTTGAGAAAGGTGCAGAGTAATGTTAAGCACTGGAAGGGAGATCTTCCCAAGTGCCACCTTATTTTATTTGAAGCAACATGTTTGGAAATAATGAATGGAAATATTTTAATACACAAAGGAGAGCACATTACAAATTCAAGATAAATTCTGTCTACCCAAGATCGATTCCCTCCATTAACACACATACTTGTGCAATCAAGTTCGAGTCCAGTTACCCTTTTGAGAAGAGCAGCAACCATCAACAGATTGGTTATAACCTAATTCAGCTATTCAAACTACATGAGGGGGATTCTGGCTTGAACAAAACAAAGTAAGTAAGTACCAGATTGATTAAGAGCTTTTCATTAACCATACAATAAAGTACACAAAAGTGTGACCCCTTTATATACAGGGTTAAAGTCAAAACCCACTTGGTATTCAGATTATTGTCTTTCAAAAGTATATTTTAGCACTCCAATTGACTTAAATAGAAAAGCTCTAAATATCTTTCTGGGTTATTACCTGTATAGACTTTATGATATGGACATTATCATTTCTAAACAGGTGCATCTATACATTAGCCATGATAGCCCATTTGCAATTTTTTCCATGCTCACAGAATACTTTATGTATTAATTAATCAGATAAAGTATTTTACTAGGCAATAACCATCAAAAAAATAAAAACCAAGGCCAGGGATTTAGCTCAGTGGTTCCGGCACCTGCCTCACAAGTGCAAGGTCCTGAGTTCAATCCCCAGTACCAAAAAACCCCCAACAGTAAACTATCATAACATACTTACTGTCTAATGACTCCTGTATATAGGGCTTAATTAAAGTTTTGTGTATGATTTGGCATAAATACATGGATCTTTTAAAGAAAACCCAATGTAAATATATGTTGGACATAATGTGAAATGTGAGCTCTAAATACTACTCTGTAGCTGGCCATGGTGGCACTCTGGAGCCTGAGGCAGAAGGATCACCACAGTTCGAAGCCAGCTTGGGCTACATAATGAGCTCAAAAACAGCCAGAACTACGTGGTGAGACCCTATCTCAAAAATCCATCCATACATACTACTCTGTAATCACACTGTATTTTCCCAATGCTGTCACTCCCTCATGCTCTTGGAAGGTAATTTTATACCCTCTCTCCTTCCAAGCATTTAACATGTCATTTCTCATCCTTAAACTTCTCTAATGACCTTCTCTAAAAGAAGAAAGCAGAAAAGCCACACTGCAAACTCCCAACACTTCATATGCTCATCTTCATGCTTCATCATCTCCACTCTGCATTCTCTCCTGTTACAGTAGATCAGTGTTCCTACTCCAAGAATTTCTTTACTGGGTCTCTCCTATCAGCACAAATGTGCTATTAATTCTCTGGTGTTAGAAATTTAATCTTGTGATCCTACTTTTCTTCCCACTTCCCCCCAAAATC